ACTCATTGGGCACAAAGAGGCTGCTGCTTAGAATCCTATGTGTCTCAGACCCCCAGTCTTTTTTCAGACACGTTCCCCCAAAAAGTGCTCCCCAGATAACAGAGACTGAGAAGAAAATTCCCACTTGGCCACAAGACAAGCTCAGAAACATGAAACAGGGTGAGAGGGGAACCTCATATGGGTTTTTTTGGGGGGGGGGCGGGTAACCTGCAGCCAAGTTTGTCTCAATAGACTCCAGTCCAGTCAGAACCGTGTAACTGGCTAGCCTTCAGGGCAAGCTCAAACTGTGGGCTTATAGGGGTGCTAGGCCCCTTATTCTACCCTATGGTGACCCTCTTTATGACAAAAAGACACAGAAACAAAAGAAATTAATGACAACAACAACAAAAAAGTCTATTTCTGAGAGGAGAAGGAATCAGACAATATGAATATTCATACCACAAAGCACCAAAAAATATACTAATACCAGAGTCACTATACAAAGACTAGTCACACATAAAACCTTTTCTCTCATTAATCTTAAAATTGGAAAGGCAAAAGAGGCAATGATTTTTACCGTCTGCTCATCCAGAAGCAACAGAGAGACTGAGGAAAACCAGGAGTCTGACTGGTGTGTTAAGGCATCTTACTGTGTTGCCGCCTGTTCAGATTCTCAATTCTCCTCGCTGTGGCTTTCAGAAGAACAGAGCAGCTTGAAGATCCTGCCCCCTAGGTCAAACTGGATTAAAGGGGATCAACAGACCTTGGAAGGGGCTTTCCCTCTATCTGTATAACCCATCAAAAGAGGGGAAACTTCCCCTTACCTCCACCCTGAAGTTCCCTGAAAGACCAATTCACAATTAAGGCAGATTAATAAGAGGAAGAGGTTCATTTGCAAAGAGGACAATTCACAATTAAGGCAGATCAATAAGAGGAAGAGGTTTATTTGCTGTGGGCAAAGGGAGAATTGCAGAGTGATTACCCAAAATCCCAGTGAGGTCCTGACATTTTTATTACCTCCTTTTAAAGGGAGGAGGAGATGAGGAATATAGGTAATTCTTTTTAGGGCCAATAAATGGTTGCTAGGAAGGCTGAATAGATGGGGGAAACATATTGACTTGTAAATTAACCTGAAAGACAGGTATTATGTTTAAAATTATTTGGGCCAGCTCTGGTTGCATTATTGATCTTCTTCCCTGCAATATGTTTAGATAACAGGGAGGGGAAGGCAAGTCAACTGTTCTTTTGTTGGGTCCATCTGGTTGTGCAGGTAGAGCGAAAGCCCCTTCCAAGGCCTGTTGAGCTGCTTTAATTCAAAATACTCTTTATACCAAAAAGTCATATTTTGGGGTGACATTTCCTGAGCTCCCTCGTACCCTTTAGCCTCTGATAAGTCCCCATGCAAATGCAAGTTAGAATCAACCCAAATGTGCAATAATAAAGAATAACTTAAGCAAGTGTAGTGTATCTGTATTAACAAATATTAGGCTTCTGTTCAAAATCTTATTTTTGAAGAAAGCTTAATTTCATGAGACAATACTCATGTGACAAAGAGTCATATTTACAGTTTCTATGCCATGAGATCCCAGTTATCTAACTGCATGTGCATAAACATAGAGGAAAATACTAGAAGGGAATACTTCCACCAGAAAGTGAACAGTGCTTTTATTTTGGGTAAAGAGATTATGGGATGATTTTTACTTTCAACTTTCTTTTCTCCTTTTTTAGGTAAATATTCCTTAATATACATGCATTCTTTCAAATCAGAAACCTCCTAATAATATCTTCACCCTGTCTAGCGGCTTGTATCATCCCCACAGAGCTGCAACTTCTACTAAGTGACAAGAACAGGACTCAACTGGAGCCAGACACAAGGAGCCTAGGGGCAGGAGAGGTGGTTCTAGAAGGATTGCTATAGGGGATAAATCGTGAGCTATTTTTGAAGGATGTCCAGCTAGCCAAGTAGAGGAGGGGGAGACGTAATTCAGGCAGAGGAAACAGCAAGCACAAAGCATGGAGAACGAAAGAAGTGGCTCGAGCCAGGTCAGAACCAAGTTCTGGAGGACAGGAGCGAGTCTCATTGCTCTTGGCATCCAAATGGACCTGCAGAATACATTCACCCAGCACATAGTGGGCACAGTATGCGTCGACAGAATCAATGAGCAAAATGATGATAACCCACATTAGAATCCTCATTCACACCTCACCTCATTCGCCACCAGGGGGCGCTCTTTCAAAACATTTTAGAAGAAAGGAGACACCATCAAATCATCACCTGCTATCTCCTTCCATTCCTAGCCCAGATTCCCAGAATAGCCCAGCTTGAGGAGCCGGCTTTAGGGAGTTGGAGGATAAGCTCCAGGGCCTGGGGGACCTTAGGGAGTGCGGTCCTGGGCACAAAGCCAGAGGGGAGGCTTGAGAGCAGCTCTTGGGCTAAGTGGGCAGGAGAGGGAGCCGGTGAGGCTGCAGGCGTTGTAACTACCGTGTTTCCCGAAAATAAGCCCTACCCACAAAATAAGCCCTAGCAGGATTTCTAAGCATTTGCGCAATATAAGCCCTACCCCGAAAATAAGACCTAGTGATGGGCGTGGCTACGCAGCACATCTGCACAACCCATGCATTTCGTCACAGAGCGGTAAAGAAGATGAGCAGCCCTTCTCACCTGCCCCATGAGAGCTCTATTGCTCGACAGGAGAGATTGGGGCCAATGGTTCTAAAGGAAATAGAGTCACAAGAAATTCAGGATGGAATTTGGGGTTTGGAGAGTTATGATGATGTTCCAGAAGAAGACGACTTGACTATATCTGAATAAATGTAGATCGTTGAATAGTTCTTAAAAACAATAACACTAAAATAAGCCCTAGGGTGTCTTCTTGAGGAAAAATAAATATAAGACCCTGTCTTATTTTAGGGGAAACACGGTATGCTCTAAACACAGACCTACTCTCAGCCCTTTGGTGCGCTCTCTCTCTCTCTCTCTCTCTCTCACACACACGCACACACACACACACACACACACACACACACACTTCGTAGTGAGACTCACCACCAGGTGGCTGCCTCTCCACAGCTCCAGACCTTTTGGGGACCCCGTCTCTACTCTCCTGTCTGCACTGGAGAGCTCAGTTCCACCCCTGCTCCCTCCTCCCACTTCCTAAAGGACAGCCTGTTGAGCCTGGCTGGTGGGGACAGGGCTTCTCAGAGATTTCAAGGCCTGAGCAAAGCCCACCCACAGTTTACTCCCTCTCCTTTCCCCTCCTCGCTTCCTGGGCCTCTGCCTCTTCCTCCTCCTTAGCTCCCATCATGTGGTTTGCTTCAATCTCCCCTAGTTATCTCCACCCCAACCTTGGCCATCTACTCCGGTCCCATCTTCTCATCTAGTCTGAAGCTTTGCTATGCCTCCTAGGCAGCGGGGAAGAGCTGAGAACTGGGGTTGGTCTGACCCTGAGTTTCAGGCCATTGAGAACACCTGCCCTGCCCGCTTCACCGGACCGTGCGGGGGTCACAGGCGTGTAGAGTGCCACACTCCATTTCAGTATTGCCCTGACACAACTGACCCTTTGGGGAGGCTGACTACTTTTCAAGGGTTTTTTTATTTATTATTATTTCAGAAGTTAATATACTTAATACCTTATGTTTACTCCAAAATGGGTAAGTTATCTTTTAATTGCCATCCAAGTATTGCTTGCTACAGGTTGCTAACATTAATTCACAGAGCCTCTCTTCTTTTTAAATTAAACACAAAAACTTTATCCTTTTCTTGCTGAAGAAGGAGGGTTGTGTCCTTGTCAAGATTAAATCTATTCATTAGAAAAAAATATAACATATAGTTCCAAAGTGTCACCAATTTGACCAAGAGGAATTTGATTCTGGTGCTGTTTTAAATTTTGCTTTTAAGCTTCTTTTTCTTTTCATGTCTACGTTTTTTTAAATTTTATTTTTAGTTATCAAATAATAATTATACATCTTTATGGAGTAGGGAGTGATATTTTGATATCTGTGTACATGTGTCATGATAAAATCAGGCTAATTAGCATACCCATGACCTCAAACATTTATCATTTCTTTGTGTTGGGAACATCCAAATCCTCTCTTCCAGCTCTTTGAACATGTACAATAAGTCATTGTTAACTATAGTCACACTGCAGTGGTGTGGAGAACTTATTCCTTCTATCTAGCTGTAATTTGGTATTAATTAGCCAACCTCTTCCCATCCTGCCCTTCCCAGCCTCTAATAACCCCAATTCTACTCTTTACTTCTATGGATTCAGTTGTTTTTTTTTTCAGTCCCCACATACAAGTGAGAATATGTAGTATTTATCTTTCTATGCCTGATTTATTTCACTTGACATAATGTCCCCTGGGTTCAAGGTTGACTGCTTCTATCCCAGGAGTTCACAGAATGAGGAGAGCAGCCATTTTATCATCGGTCACTCCCATGTCGAGAAGCAGAAATCTCCCCAGTTCTGAAATGATTACCACCATGCTGTACTGGGGACTGTGGCTTGCCTTATGGGTCCCGGGTAGGCAAATATCTCATCTAGATTCAAGAGGAACAGGCTTGACATTTCTTAGACCGCAAGGGTGGGGAATCTATTCTTGTGGACCAAGTAATCTTACTTTTCTACTTACGTGCTGTGGAGAGGCTGATGCAAAGCCACACAAGGTGAATTTATGATAAAGGAAGAAGAGCTAGAGGGTGGGGCAGTGGGTGAAGATGCAAAGCTGAGGCAGGGGGGAGGGTCTGATTTCCCAGACTCCCTGCTCAGAATGAGGCCTACCCAGGCTTGGGTGGGCACCTGCTGTGTCTTAATTCCTGAATTAGTCAGGGTAATTCTCTAGCATGGGCCCTTCATCTGTTCTGAACACTGACCTCTCTGAGAATCTGGTAGAAGTTTTGAGTCTTCTCCCCACAAAAAAAAAAAAAGCATTCATGCATATTCAGAGAAAATTGTTTTCCGTTTTTGCGGTGCTGTCATATTAAAAAAAAAAAATCGGTGGGACTTCCTGTTTCAGTCTTTGGGCCCATGTGCGCTGGGTAGAGAGAAAAGGTCAGTGGGTGTTTTCTTCTAATCCTGCAGGGTCAGTTCCCTTTTTGGCCTGGCTCCCTCTCTACCCTGACTCCTGCGTTCCGGGGAAGTTCTGGAAAGTAGCATGAGCGCCAGAGGATGGGAGTGGTGTCTGGCTGTGGAACTGCTGCTGCTGCCTCTGCTATTCCTGGCAACCAATGCTCAAGGTACTGTCCACCAACTGTCTGCAGGTAGCTATGCGCCAAAGGCTTGGGTGGATGGGAGCAGGGGGCTGGGATGGGGCTCAACCCTGGAAGCAGTGGTCTGGTCTCCAGGCAGCAAGGGCTTACACCCCAGTGAACAGGGCCCTGGTGAGATTGGGGAGTCTTCCTTAGCCTTGAAGAATCAGGCTCCATCTCTTTTCCCAAGGGGACACTACACAAACAGGGCACCGGGGAGATGGAGAATCAGGCCCCTCCTATTTCATCATCCCATGCCTGGTGGTCTGTGAAGTGGTGGGAAAGTGCTCCTTTTTTGCATTTTGAATAAGAGGAGGCTCTCCCACACCAGCTGCCATGGTTTATGCTCAGACACACTATGTTCCCTTACGTGTTCTTTGAGACTTCTGGGTATGCAAGGAGTTGTGTCCTGAGTCAAGGTAAATGATATTGTCATTGTCCCAAAGATAGATCAACATTGTAGGAAGGAGAACTTGGAGAGGATTGCTCTATCGAAGGTCTCAGAATGAGGACTTCTGAGAAGAGGCCTGAGGTGTCTCAATATCACAGGAGCACCAACACGTCTCATTGTTAGGAGTTAAATAAGATCCATTCCTCCACCACAGCCTGTTCTGGTTCCCCTTGTGTGCGCAAGGGCTGAACCACTTCCCTTTTCCTGTTGTAGCTGCCTCGCCCTCTTTCTTCATCCAGTACCTGTCTTTCCAGGCTAGCTGAGAAGCGGAAGTCAAGCTGTTGTCTTTCTTGCTATTCCCCCAAATAAATACTAGGGTCTTTTTAATTGAAAGGGCTTTCATGTTCACCACTATGAGCAAAAATGGGGAAGTCACACAAATCATAAATTTATGATAGTATGTAACTTTTAGAGAGATGAGATAGTAATGTGAGGAGGATCAACCTGGTTGATCACTCATGCACCCTGCCTCCCAGGGTGGCCATCGCTTGGGTCTGGTCCACGGCTGTGCAAGGCTAGAGACACTCGTAGCTATAGGGGCTCCGTGGGACTGACTCAACTCATAGGGTCCTGGCATGGTCTTGGGAGTGGGGGCTGATGTGAAGTATTAACTCAACTGCTGGGAAAAATAGAGATGCCAGTGAGAACTGGAATATTTCAAGACTGTTTCTAGGTATGTCAAAAACACCCTGACATTCGCTCATTCTCTGACTTTCCTTTTCTAGGTTTCATCCTGGTCATTTATCCTCCTGTGGTTGAAACATGCAGATTATGTTATCCTTTCAATGGGTTACATTGGTTTTGATAGATTAGCACCATGCATTTCTAAAACTGAGGCGAATAGAATAAACTTTAAGCATTTACTGTGTGTCAAGTATTGTGCTAGGTATTGTAGTTTTGTATACTATCTCATTTAGCTTTCATTAGAAACTAGTGAGGTGGTTGTCATCATCTACATTTTTCATAAGAGAATACTGTCTTTCAGAGACATTAAGAAATTCTTCTAAGGACACACAGGTCTAACTTCCAAAGCATATGCTTATACTTTTATGAGACTATGCCCCAGGAATCTTGATGAAGGTCAATGTGTCTACCTTGTTTTTGTGCACAGCTTGTGCCTACAGATGATCATTTTATCTCCAATCTATGGCTTTGCCCCTATTATCCACTTCATCTGGCCAACCTTAATTTTGCTGTTTGCCCTAAAAAAAGATGTCTTCCTTCTTACATGTGGGCCTATGTCCATTTCTTTCCTTCTACCTAGAGTTCCCTGTACCCTCCCCTCTCTCTGCCTCTCCTTTTGGCTTCCATTTTCATGCGAAATGGAAGATTTCCTCCTGGAAACTTCAGGTACCAGATCATGGTTTGTGAATTGCTTGTTTGATTGTCTGTTTTCTGGAGCTTTATGAGGACAGGAACCACATGGTGTTATGCTGTTGAACTTAGCACAGTGTCTGGAACGTAGTATGTGCTAAATAAGTAATTGTTAAGGGAATGAATGAATGAATGACTTCAAAGAATTTCCTTCTGAAGTATACATCATATCTTCCTGGGAGTACAAGTAGCTCTCTCCTCCATGGGAAGGGATGTGTTTATGGAAAAGTTTGAGAAGCACTCTTAGAGCTCCTCCTTTATCTCTCCGAACTTGAGTTTCTCAGCTCTCTGATTTCAAGGCAATGATTCAGGGCACCCTCCACTACTAGGCATTTCCCCGTCTCCCCACAGCACTGAGCAAGGTGCAGTGGAAACAGCATTGTACTAGGAATGAGAAAATCTGTCTTCTATCTGGGTTCCATGCCATGGCATTTTTTATAATCACAAAAGCTTCCTGAGCCTCAGCTTCCTCAACTCTGTAATGGGTACAATAATCTGCTCCCCATTTCTTCAAAGGGTTGCTATCAAAATCAGATGGAATAAAGAATATGAAATTGCTTTGCACTCGTGACACACATGCAATCTGGGACAAATAAAAGCGTGGAAGAGCATAAATAAACTCCAGAGCCCGAACCACTTGCCTGAGCCCCAGACCTGAATTTATGCTTTGAAACATCTCCTCTAGACTCTCCAGACACATATTCAAAACTTAATTCATCACCTCTGTTCCAGCTATCTTTTGCTGTTTAAGCCATCACAACACTATGGCTTAAATTAATCATTTGGTGTGCCCAGAAATCTAGGGGTGCACTGTGCTCACCACATCTTACTCGGGGCCTTTCATGTGCTTGCAATCAGATAATGGTGGGGCCTACGGTCATCTCAAAGGCTCCTCCACCCACATGGCTATGCCTACACTGAGGATGACTCAAACAGCCACGTGCCTGGCACCATCCCAAAGAAGCCTCTGAGAGTGAGAGTTCCAAGAGAAGCAGACAAATGCTGCATGGGCTTTTCTAACCTAGCTCTGCAAGTCTCATTTCTGCCACATTCTATTCACTGATGCAGTCATCAGTCCTACTCCAGTTGAAGGGAAAGGAACACAAACTCCATCTCTTAATGGGAGCAGTATCAAAAAAATCGCAGGCTTTTAAAAAAAACTGCTATAATCCTCCTTCCCCTCAAACCTACTGCTTCTCCATTGTTCTCTGTCTCTATATGCGACATCTCCATTTCTCCAGTTGCTCAAGCCAGCTAGGAGTCATCCTCAATTCTTTTCTTTCCCTTGTTTCTCATGCTCAATGAATGTCTTACCAATTCTACTTTCAAAAATATCTCTCAGATATGTCCCATTCCATCCATCCTCACTGCCACCTGTCCTTGATCAAGCCACCATTTTCTCTATCACCAGTGACCATGGCGGCTGCCTATCCTAATTGCTTTTTCTACTCCATTCTCTCTTTCTAGCCTGTTCTTCACTCTGCCATTGGTATAAATTTTCTAAAGTGGTTCTCTGGGGTTTTTTTGTTTTTTGTGGGTTTTTTTTACTCTTTTTGCTTAACACTCCAATGGCCACCATGCAGAACGAGAAAGCAGAAATTCTGAGCACACAGCTCATAGTTCCTGTTATGCTCACTTCCTGCCCTGGTCTATATTCTAAACCGAATGAACTACTTTCACTTCCATAAATGAATCTTGCTCTAGTTGTCTCTGGGAACTTGTCGCAATATTTTCCTTTCTCCTCTTGTTGGAGCCTTCATTATATCCAGTTCTCATCTTTCCCTGGCTTAAGCCTACTTATCTTAATTCATCCTCACACTTTCTAGGGAATCCATTCCTCACCCCTAAATTCAAGTGATGTGCACCCTTTTATGCATCCCCCAGCACTCCATATTTTCCTTATCCCAACACCATCAATGGTGGAATAGTCTAATTAATTGTCCCTAGTCACTGGAATAAAAAATCCTTAAGGGAAGAAGTTATATTTATCTATTGTGTGCACCCAGAGCCTGGCACATGGTCAGTGCTCACCAGACAGCTGCTAGATGAGGAAATAAATCGATGCACATATGTACGCATGCGTGGGTACACGGACGGATGGATACAGGAAGGAAAGGAAGATGGGAGGAAGTTATGAGTCACTGTGTCAGCCAACCTGGGATCTCAAAATAGCCCTTCTAGCCCTGATAAAGTCTTCCTCCCATGTCCCACAGTGTCTGTTTCAAACCTTCACCCTCATTCTCCAGGACCCTAACCTTCATGCCCTGCCCTCTAAGCAAAGAACTAACTTGCCTCCTACTTTGCGGAAGAAGTGTGAATCAGAGATGATTAAGTAAGAAGCCCTTCAGCTTCCTGTCTACTCTCTCCAAACTGGAAACTCCTCCACATTACCCGCTGTCTTTGTGTCAGAGGATGTGGTATCCCTCCTCCCAACCAAGACCTGTGCTGTCAGCTCTGCTCTGAGCTCCATCAACCCCAGGCCCATCAGTCACCTCCCCTCTCTCCATGTCTCCCCCTCCATGGGCTCCTTCTCTTGGCTTATCACAACTTACCTCTTTTCTCTCCTTAAATTAATCTAAGAACAAAAACAAAAAACTCTCTTTCCTTTCATGTCCCTATCATTCTCCTTCCCATTCTTATGCAAATGTCTTCAAAGAAGAGTCTACTTTTGTTGTCTCTTATTCCTCACCTTCAGATTGCATTGTATGGTTGCCTGCTGAACTCATTATACTTCCCATCTCAGGAAATGGTACCCTGCTCATCTTGTCACCAAAACACAACTCTGGGGTCTTGATATCTACTGACAAATTACTTCCTAAGAGGGTTTGTATAGGCTCTTTAAATATGGGATCTCATTAGAGAACCCCAGGCAATTCCACCTCCATATCTTTAAAACTCACTTCCTTTTCTTCTTTAAAAGTTTTTCTAGAAACCACGTGTCTTGTTTCTAGAGTAATCAGAACTTCTCCTTTAGAACCTCTTTCTTTTTCCGGAGTAGGCTCATTGGTATGGTAGTATGACTTCCTTTGATTTGAATTTTTTGCCCTTATATTTCTGCTTTTCTACAGATAAAGAAATATGGGTGGGTACAGGAAGAATCTGCTTCTTTTTCTATTATAAGCTACAGGTAAACTCTGTTACTGTATCCTAAGCATCTAGACACATTAACTACTTCTTCTTGTTAGAATTAAATCAAAATATTAGTTATATTTAAGGTTGCTTCACCTACCTTCTAAAAGATGGAAATGTCAGGAAGGCAGATCAAGATTTTTATCAACAGTTAACCACTTTATTTCTCAGGAAGAAGTCACAGCCAACTATTTTTTAAGAATCTTTACACATTGGTGGTTAAGGAAGGAGGGAAGATACAACACCCTATGTGTAGCTATAATTAGCACTCAAACTATATTGAAATGCTGTCTGCTGGTTACTACCTGCCTGTATCGACAGACAGTGGCTTGTGCTGTCATCCTCGAGTGTATGTCTGAGACTACTAGAGAGTCTGCCAAGGATGATTTAGGCCAGTAGCTCCCAACTGTGGTGAGAATGAGGCAATTTTGTCCCTTAGGGGACACATGTCAATATCAAATATATTTTGGGTTGTCACAACTGCACAGGTGCTACTGGCCTCTAGTGGCCAGAGGTCAGGAATGCTGCTGAACATTTTACAAGGCACAAGACAGCCCCCCACAAAAAAGAATTAACTGGTCCAAAATGTCAGTAGTGCCAAGATTAAAAAACACTGACCTAGGCTGCCTGCTATTTACCACTTCTATTAACTCACATGGGAACAAGTAACAGAAGGAGAACAAGTCTGGAATATATGGCCAGTGACTTTAAAATTCTGCAGAGAACTTCCTCCTTGGCTTTGTGCTCTGAGAGGCCGGAGATGCTGATGTCAGAGCCTAGCGCAGAGCCGGGCATGTCATGGTTGTGCAATAACTGCTTCTTGGACTGAACTGATTCTGTCAGTGGGGTTACAGAGTGTAGACAGGACCAACCAGAAGCACTGTGGAAATGAATGCCTGGCTGTGTCTGTGTATGTACTAGGACAGGGGGAGTATTCAATAAATGTTTGTTGAATAGATAGAGGGATGGTGGGAAGGATGAAGGAATAGAAACTTGAAAACCCTGGGGACACAGACATTTCTATCTTTCAGTGGTTGAAACTTTTCTCTACAGCTCCTTCTCAGCCCGTGCGTACGTATTCTCAGTTCTCCTCCCTCCAGAACTCCCTTCATCTTGCACTTTCTCCCTGTCATCCGTCCTTTCTCCTTGTCTTAACCAAACCAGGTTTCTCAGAACCTGAGACTTACACACTTTGGAGCATCTTCACAGAAAAAAGGAGAACAAGTAGGAACAAAAATGAATTCAGATAGAGCGAAAAAGGAAATCCCAATGAATGAGTACAAGTTTTAACAAGCTGACAAATACTACACAAATCATGAAAGCCAGAAAAATAGCATAATATTTTTAATTAATTAAATGCCTTCAAGCTTCCATAATACTTAGCCACCAAAAAGCTCTGGCTCTTGGTCACTTCAAACCTGGTTTCCCCTCTACCTCGCACCTACAGCCCTATTGCAACCTGCCAGGACACGGCAGGACCGTTCCTGCATGCCATCCTTCACCAGCGTGGCAGGCAAGAACTTCACACACAAGAGACTGTGAAATGTACATATATATACATCTCACTAAGCCCAGCTAAATAGTCCCCAGTTCTAGTTCCCCTAAGCCAGATTGCAAAATGCCCATGACTGAGACACCACCCAACACAAGTGGAAGTGTGTGATGAAGGGGATGTTGGAGTGGCCAGAGGCAATGGTCTAGTTATTTGTGTTTAAAGACGCATAATGTGTTATAACACATATCAGCATAGGAATACACTGCTAAAGCCCCTCCAGGGCCATACAAGGGGCCTCGAAGCTTCCTCTTCGTCACTTCCACAGGAAATCTGCCTCTGATCCAAACTTTGTCAAATGACAGTTTAGACAAATGGTTTCTACTGTCTTACCTTCTAATAACTTGCTTCTAAATACATTGTAAATGTATTACACAGGACATGAGCCATTTTTACAGGGAGGGATTTTTGACAGGATAAAACATTATCAAGGAAGCTAAAATATTTTTATCCACTCTCCCCAACACCACTCTCTCTCTCTGACTGTGTCTCTCAACACCTATTCCCCTTTCTCGATCCACTTTGTCCATGCTGGCCTCCTTGCTGTTGTTATACATGGCAGGCAGGTCCCCACCACAGGGCCTTTGCTGTAGCTCTTCCCCCTGCCTGGGTCTCTCTTGCCCCAGATATCTTGGCTCTATATCTCTCTCTGCCTTCAAGTCTTTGCTCAGGTGTGACCTACTTACCACCTTATAAATGAAGTCTACCCTCTCCCTCCCTCAGTACTCATGACTCCCCTAACCCTATTCTAGGTTTTCCCCTTTGTCATAGCAATGATCACCTCCTTATGTACTCTGTAACATGTTTAGTTGTTGTATTTACTGCCTACTGGATTTTTACCCACTCTAATGTAAGGTCTATTAAGGCAGGGATCTTTGCTGCTTAGTTCATCAATGGATCCCAAGTGCTTCAAATAGTGCCTGACAGATGGTTCTCAACAAATATTAGCTTTTACTCATCCTCCAAATCATGTTAGTGATTGTCTACACCAAAAAGATTTTCTTGGTATTTCCTACCCCTACACTCTGGATAGGGGTACATTCCCAAAACACACTGTACTTTGTTCCCATAGTACCATGTGCCTGTCTTTATTATTGTAACCAAGAGATTGATTATATTAAGACTATTTATTTGTGCACCTGTTCTCCCACATTGGTGTGCTAAATCTTTTAGAAGACAATTGTGTCGTGTTTATGTCTATGTCTCTAGAGACTAACGCAGTGCTTACTGAACTAAATTGAACAGATGGGAAACACAAGATCAGAGTGAACATGACCTGTTATCATTTTTTATGAAAATCCACTGGTCTGAGAGTAATGGAGAGAGCCAGGGTTAGCCTCAGTATCCTTTTCTTATTATCTAGGAGCAGCACTAGATGGATTATAAACAACACCCTCCTCTGCCGTGCGTACTTCTCAAGCTCCATCTTGTCTTGAACTCTTGACTAGGAGCCCAGGGCCTCTGATGAAGACCGTACTCACTGCTGCCAAGCAGAAATCCCTTCTTTCCTGCCTGTTCCGCCAGCCCAGGCTAGACTCGGGGCCTTTCCATGGCCATCCTTCTCTAAGGTGGGTTTCCCTCTGACTCTCCTTGGCAGGTCATTCGACAGGTGAGGTGATCGTGGTGTCCGGCAGCAATGTGAGCCTGCAAATCTCCAAGAGCCTGCCTGATAACTACAAGCAGCTAACCTGGTTTTACACCATCCACCAGAAGATTGTAGAATGGGATTCCGGCAAATCTAAGTACTTCAATACTAAATTTAAAGGCAGGGTCGTGCTTGATCCTGAAAGTGGTGCCCTGAACATTTATAACGTCCAGAAAGAGGACAGCAGCACCTACCTCATGAGGGTGTCAAATGCCACTGGGAAGGAGCAGGAGTGGAAGATCCTACTGAAGGTGTTTGGTGAGTTAGGGGAGCCAGAGGGCAAGACTCCACTCCAGGCGCCCTGGGTGGACCCCTGGGAGGCTCCCTGGGTGGCAAGGGGTGGCTTTCTGGGAGAAGGAGAGAAAAACTTCAGGACAGGCTAACTTCACTTTTCATGGAGCTAGTTCTACTTGGGAGTGAGCCTAAGCAGCAGATCTAGGACAAAATTGATAATTGATAATCTTAGGACATTTAAAATTTCTTCTGAAGTTAGTGAGTCTAAACTTTGAAGAGAAGGAAATAGAGCTGATTTCCTCTCTATTTCCTTCATTCTGCCCTGTGATCAACCTAAATCAGTTCCGAGATCATCTGAATTATATCTCTGAACTTAGACTTTATCAGACATAAGGAAAAAGAGAAGACACAAAGGATGGGGCAGTAGTTATTGGAGGGTTTTTTACCCTTCAGAATGGGTGGGCTAAAAACTTTCACTCATATCTCCAAGCTAACTAGTATATATGGAATAAGGACTAGGGCACTATATTCGGAGTCAGGCAGACCTGGGTTCAAAACTCTGGTCAGTCACTCACTAGCTGTGTGACCTTGGAGAAAGATCTTAACATCTCTGTGCCCTATCAGCTAAGATTCTTTTCACCGCAAGTAACAGAAAGTAATTCAATGTGCCTTTACTAAAGAAACTAGGGCTATTTAAAAAGAAATTTAAGGAGTTAAAAAGAGCCCAGAAAAGCTGAAGGGGAGGAAGATTAAAAACCAGGGCCAGTCTGGAATCCTCAGCCTCAGGACTCTACCTATGGACTGTGCCTATAGGTCCCTGCCATTTATATGACTTACTTCTCAAAGCTTCGACTTTGGTTCCTCTGAGTTTCAATTCTCAGGGAAATGTAAAGAGAGACAAACTGATTGGCCCAGCTTGGTTCAGGTATGTGTACCTGGTCTAAACACTTATGGCTAAAAAGGTCAGGTTGTAAGGCAGAAAAATTGTTCCTAGGGAGGCTGCAAGGGTCCGGGTAGACAATTATTGATAAAGAGGGGCCAGGTAGATATCCAAGAGAGGTCTGCTTCAGAGCCTTGGGTCCCTCATCATATTATGAGGACAATTATATCTACCTTTTAGGATATTATGAAGACCAAAGCAGATAATGAAAATGAAAACATTTCTAAAATGCTAAAATGGTGCAAATGAAGAGTGTTACATTCAGGTCCCATGTGCCAGACAGTCCCTGATCTAAGAATACAGAGTCTCTATACTCACCTTCTCCATGTTACATGGCATGAAAATTCAGGAGGTCCCGGGAACAGGAAAGATTCAAAGTCTTTTACAGTGGTGTTCTAGTTAACCAGCTCTCTAAGATTGGATGGAGGGGAAAATAAAAGAAGAAGAAAAAAGAAAAAAAAATCCCTAATTTATCTCACTTACCAACTTTACAATTTCTGTGGTTTAAATACTCCTACCAAGGTTGATTCCAATATACTAATGGTTTCACAAAAAGTTTGCAAAATTTCCAAATACCTAAAAATCCACGAGCTAGCTTAGCTTTTAGCACACCCTGCCTGAGGGTAAGATTCTCAGGGTATGATGAACAGAGAAATGGTCCTTCAGTCCCGCCCAAGCATTTCTGACAGCTCAAAGAGCCAGACCATGCAACCTGGCTCAATAAATGCCATCCACAATGTGCCCGGTGCTGTGCTGATCATCGTAGGAAGTGCAGAAGGAGTGTAAGACATGAGGCTAGAACATAGGAAATGATGAAAACCAGTATAAAAGTTGCTCAGTTAAAGCATACAGGGGAAGTGCAGCAATCTGAGAGGGCTTCATGGAGGAGATAAAACTAGAATTCTGGAGGCCAGAATTAGTAGAGTTTCTGTAGCCTCTCCACACATACAACCCCGAGGCAAGCTCTGATATGCTAAATTCTGTGCCACATTTTAATCCTGTGGGGTCTGAGCTGCACTGATTCTGCAGGTGTTTTACCCTTGACCAGAATGAAAAGATTCCAGAGGATTTCAGGTAAACCAGCCCTAGCCAAAGAAGGACCAGATGCTGGGGTTACCTCTCGTGCCATGTGGCAGCAGGACAGCGGTAATGATGGTAATGTGACCTCTAGCATGGAAGTGTTACTTATGCTCTTATGCAGAAAGCACTTGAGGCAGAGTCATTTTACAGATGAATACAGGGGGCTTAAGTTCCTTGCCTAATGTCATTCCACCAGAGCCAAGTCCAGGACCCAGGCTGGTCTCACTCCAAAGCTGGTGTTTTGTCCTTTCTATCTCGTAACTACTTCATTCATTCATCCTTTCACCAGATACTGATAGAATACTGCAATGTGGCAGGCACTGTGCTAGACACAAATACCAAAGTTAACAGGCCAGGGCTGTTCATCACCTCTGACGTGTCCTGGGGTTACACGAGGTTCTTCTCTACAGCTCTGCCAGAGTTCATGAGGATGGCGCCTCCTCTGGGTGTGCAAAGGGCTTTGCCATGCACGGGCCAGCACCTCTTACTTCAGGATTCTTGCGGAATCTAAGCCTAAGAATTCTCGAGGGACAGACCGGCCAAGGTGCCAGCTGTGGACCATTGCTAGAGAAGGGGCCTGAGCATCTCAGGCAGCTGGGATACTAAGTCTGTCCCCAGCCAACCCCTCTGCTAACACTGGGCTGTCCTTTCTGGCTCACAGATGGCCAGAACCCCATTTTGCTCCCGGCGCTTGTAGTGGACCCTGGCGCCCCCTGCTGGATCCAGCTTAGCTTCACCTCCGAGGAGCCGCGCTTGCAGCCTGAAGCCTCCGGGACTCAAAGCTGCTCACTGGCTCCCTCTGCAGGGGCCTCTTCTCCATGACTCGCATCCTGCTGCGCTCAGGGACCCTGCCCTGGTTCCCTTCCCTCTTGGCTAAACCCTCACAGCACAAACGCCCCCATGGTCTCATCTGCTAACATCCCCCTCATTTTCAGACCCTGTACCCACGCCTGCCATAAACATCGAGAAGACAGAGGAAACGAACAACACCTGTTACCTGAAACTGTCGTGTGTGATACCTGACCAGTCGGTAAACTACACCTGGTATGCGGACTCGGGGCTCCTCCCAGAGGCGTACCAGAGGAGCGTGCTTGAACTGAGGGTGCCTGAGCCCCAAAAGTACTCCAAGTTTTACACCTGCGAAGTCAGCAATCCTGTGAGCAGCAAGAATGACACAGTCTATTTCATTCCACCTTGCACCCTGGGTAAGAAACATCCCTTAGGGACCTGGAGTGGGCACAGGGTAACTAGCTTTCTTTTGAATGAAGAAAGGTGTGGGCGTCCTCCTCAGCCTCCTGGCACAGAATGTTGGTGGAGTATCTCCAAGGTGCCCGGGAGAGCGAGAGACTAGAGTTCCAACGCCAGCTCTGCCAAAGGGCATTTGGCAGAGGATCTCTGATACTCCCTCCTCCTCCCCTACTCCAAAAAAGCATAGCCCTAAATTCTGAGGCCGGGGTAATTGTAGGACAGTCTGAGACATCATGGTGAGCAAGAAGAAAAGGGCCAAGTGCCTAGAGGGTTTCCGGTCCACAGCCTAAGTGAGCCAAGGAAAGAAGGACCAAAGAGATGGGCATGAGGGAGGCCCGTGAGCAGCAGTGAGGGGCTCAGCCTTGGGGAGAGACTCTCCTCCACGGGCATGTGCTCCTTGGTGAAGTTGGAAAGACAGAGTTCTCTGTGGGAGGATCCACTAGGAGGATCCACTCACTGGAACATCACGCCTGGCTCTAAACCAGCCTACACTGGTGCTAGCATGGTACAAGTCATAGATAGATCTTAGAGGCAGTCACACGAGGAATCTGTCCTGGGATTGTCGCTTGCAATTGTAGCTAGTGAGTTACTTAGCTTCTCCAAATCTTGTTCCTCCCAAATAAAGGGCAAAATGACAGTTCTTATCTCATGACGTTTCACTTGTCTCATGATGTTTGTCCCTGCTCCCATCCGTGGACTGTGGAGCCGCATGCTCTTCCTTGTTCTTCCCAACTAACTGCCCATGTCTCTTCTAGCCTCTCCTCATGTGCCCTGCTCCTCTGCCACCACAGGCCCAGTGTGACAGTTGGGTGTCTGACCACGTGACCACAGTTTGGCTTGGCAATTTCAGTATCACCTTCATAACAACACCATATTCAGAGATCCAGAAAAAAGGAAGAGCCACAATCCCTGGCCCTTATAAAACGAGGGTGACTGCTCATCTGCAGAGGGGATAAAAGCAATAATACATCCATTTGGGGGAAGGGCTAAATCCATCTTGTCACTTTTTAGCCACCCAAATTATCCTAGAAAGCACCCTTACTCTCCCTTCCCTATCGTATCACTCATTTCCTTTTCCTTTTGATTTTTTCCCACCCTGCCCCACCCCAGCATCTTAGAGATGCTCTGTTTTCCTTCCCTCCCATTTGTTTTCTTTTCCTTTCTATTTCCCCTTCCCTTCCCATTTTCCTCCTGGTTGGTGCAGATGGCTACTGGGGTGGAGAAACAAGGAAGGGAACTGGTCCTCCCCTCCCTAAAGTCTCCTGTGTATAGCGTTATGTGGTCATTGGTCCACACATGAAGCTCTGCCCTACTACATCGATGTCCAGGGTAGAGGAGTGATTCTGTCCCATGGATGGGCCAAGGTAACCTTCAAGCACAGGACTCAGCTAAAGCAGTAATATAGGGAATTTCTGCACTCTTAATACTTTATGCTTGGGAAGATTGAACTCTTGCAAGAATGAGGATATCACAGGCACACCAGGATTAGACTCAGGGAGGAAACTTATGCCCCTTTTCCGCGAGCTCCCATGGCAATGTCCAGTATTCCTGCCCCTTCTCAACACATTAATCAAAACGCCTAACCATTTGGGGTTTTCTTGTTCTTTCAGCCCGATCCTCTGGAGTAGATTGGATTGCAAGTTGGCTGGTGGTCATGGTACCCACCATCCTTGGCCTTCTACTTACCCGAGATGAGCTCTTCTGACTCAAGCGTGATAATGCAAAGACAGGGGATCTTATCTTCGTCAGCAACCACAGGCTTCACCAACAGAAGCTCTGACTCTGTGGGTTGGGGCACAGTGTGTTTTTGAAGCATCAACGAGGATTTTTCAGATTACATTTTAAAAAACTATGACTATTATTTAATTTTATATCCCCTCGGTGTTTTACAATACACCTAATATAGATATGTTTACATTCTTACCACCAGAAAAATGTAAGCACACTATGCAAATGTTTTCTTATTTGTTTAAATAAACATTTGATATTATTTTCAAAGTGGATTCCTGAAGTCGTCCCACATCTGTCGGACAATGCCTAGTCCATCAGCCTGGACAAACTGGAACACGGAGACACAAAGCCTGGGATGGTAGGCTCCTGTGTGTCAACACAGCTGAGGGACTAATTTGTGCTACTCTGAGACTGGTTCCAACACCCGTGCCAAGCCTGCTGGGGTTCCAGCTCTCCCAAGACCCCCTCTGCTGCCGAGCTTTCACCTCCTTTCTGGTGGTTGGCCTTGATCCAGCCCCACCGAGGCCCACACTGTTATGTCTCCTGTGAGCTGGGTCAGGCTTACTCCCCCAGAACTGAGTATGTGGCTTGACCACAAAGAAAGCGTCCTCTCCCAGCCTGCCACTGGGAGCTGAGTTCTCTCTCCTCTGTCACCACTTTGAAGCATGGGCAACTCTTCAGGTCCTACTTGTGTCATGGAATCCAACAAAACCACTAAGCTGACACAATGTTTTCACCGGTGTCTTCCCTTATATGCAGGTAAGAGCCTCCAGGCCCACCAGTGATAGGACACCTGGGAATTTTGCTTTGTGATCCTGTCACCTGGACACCCCATCAAAGCACATAGAAAACTTTAACAGTTCTTTTTCCTTCTCTTTTCTTTCTTTCTTCTAACTGTTTTTCTTTAGTTTCTCGATCTGCTGGCACAGCTGCTCAAGGACACCAGATGACCTGGAGGTCACAAATAGCTAAATGACCCACTGCCAGATGCCAGTGGGAACCCAGACCTGCACAAAACCAGTGCAGACCAGAGCAGGTGACCTCCAGTTACCTTTGACCTATTAACACCCATTACATCACTGAATATATTTTCCTCTGGGTCAGTAGAACAACTCCTTTTCCCAGCTCCCCCTGCATCTTGCTGGGACCATGCGACTGGATCTGGCCAATAGAGTGTGGTAGAATTGATGGCAGGAGTGAGGGACTCTGGCAAGTGGAGCCCCATGATGCAAGGAGCCCGGCCTGAGCCATTGTTTAGAAGGCAGCCGCCTGCTCTGCATTGCACATGCGTGATAAAAACAAAAAGGCTGGGTTTTGTCTGTTACCACAAGACAGCCTGGGCTCTCTACGACCCATACCCGCAGCCCAGCCTGCAGTCCCGTCCCAACCTCCCCTCTGAGCAGCCTGCATCCTCCAGTCCGACTGTCTTGGGCCTCCTTTCTGTAAGCAGCACCTCTTCCCTTCCTCTTGCTTTTCTCAATCAAAGAGGAGCTTCCCTTGGGGACACACGCACGCACACACACACACACACACACACACACACACTCCCCCCCCTCATATACAGAGGAATGGAATAAAAATACATTTCTGGGAGAAATAGTAAGAAGGAAACAAATGCCACTTTACATCAAAAATAAGCACATTCCTCAGCTGCTAATGAACCTCCATCTCTCTCCAGACATCACATTTCGGTTAGTTTAGGTTACCTGGAAACCTGAGGCAAATCCCACCTCCTCGGAGGGCCAAGGTCACAGGCATCGAGTGTTCCCAGCCTCTTTCATCCCTCAAGGCCCAGCCAGATACATAATTTGTGAGGCTCAGCGCAAAATGAAAACGTGGGCTTCTTTGTTCAAGAGGCAGGGAAAAAGTGCCATTAAAAGTACTAAAATATTAAACTTTTTCCTTTCTTCTGCAGTCTCTTTCTCTACTTGAGATGATACTTTTTATTTGCTAGTTAATGCTGTTCTAAGTAAAGGCAAAGGAACATTTTAAATTGTGAATTTTATTGTCTATATTTTGCAATGTCAGTTTTAAAGGCAAAAATAAGAACATTTAATTCATACGTGGAATCACTGAAATTACTCAATTCATGTTTTGTAGGTCACGCATGCATATGTATTTTGTTCTTACCAGAATAGTGACAAATGCTACAAAAACCTGCCTTAACTGTTCTTATTTTATTTCTTGACGCGCACACATTCTCCCAACCCTCTATGGAAGCCATAACACAAAGACTTTGGCCTGGCTTTGAGTCTCACTGACCTGACCCCACACATTGTGGTGGGTCCACTGGAGTGCCGTGTCCCCGGTGGTGCCGTATGTGAGTGAGACAACACGGAAAGGTGGTGGGCTGCATGTTGCACAGATCTCCTCACATGCACACTCCGTTGTCACTTCATTTAAAAAAACACAATTTGAAGCCAGCCACAGTGGCACGTGCCTGTACTCCCAGCTACTCAAGAGACTGAGGCCCAGGAGTTTGAGGCTGTAGTGAGCTACGATCGGACATGTGAGTAGCTATTGCGCTCCAGCCTGGGCAACATAGCAAGACTCTGTCTCTTAAAATAATAACAATAATAATAAATTTTAAAAAAACACAAACTGAAAGATAAATTATTATTATTATTATTTTTTTTTTTTTGAGACAGAGTCTCGCTTTGTTGCCCAGGCTAGAGTGAGTGCCGTGGCATCAGCCTAGCTCACAGCAAACCTCAAACTCCTGGGCTCAAATCCTTCTGCCTCAGCCTCCCGAGTAGCTGGGACTACAGGCATGCACCACCATACCCGACTAATTTATATATATATATATATATTAGTTGGCTAATTAATTTCTTTCTATTTTTATAGTAGAGACGGGGTCTCGCTCAGGGTGGTTTTGAACTCCTGACCTTAAGCAATCCGCCCACCTTATAGCCTCCCAGAGTGCTAGGATTACAAGAGTGAGCCACCGCGCCCGGCCAGAAAGATAAATTATTAAGAATTTCCACTCCCCAACACATTTTATGAAGTGAATACAACCCTGATACCAAAACCAGGAAAGGATACAACAAAAAAAGAAAACTATAGACCAATATCTCTTATGAATATAGATGCAAAAATTCTCAACAAATCCTAACCAATCGAATCCAGGTGCTTGTCAAGAAAATAATCCATCACAACCAAATGGGCTTCATCCTAGGGATGCAGGGATGGTTCAACATACACAAATCTATAAATGTAATTCACCATATAAACAGAAGCAAAAGCAAAGACCATATGATCCTCTCAATAGACACAGAAAAAGCATTTGACAAAATTCAACACCCTTTTATGATAAGAACGCTCAACAAAATAGGCATAGACAGGGCTTACCTAAAAATGATACAAGCCATATATGACAAACCCACAGCCAATATCATACTGAATGGGGAAAAATTGAAAGCATTCCTGCTTAGAACTGGAACAAGACAAGGCTGCCCACTATCTCCACTTCTATTCAACGTAGTGCTGGAAGTCCTTGCTACAGCAATCAGACAAGAAAGCGGAATTAAGAGCGTCCAAATAGGAGCAGAAGAGATCAAACTCTCACTCTTTGCTGATGACAAGATATTATACCTAGAAAACCCCAAGGATTCAACCAAGAGACTCCTTGAATTGATAAATGAATTTGGTAAATTCTCAGGATACAAAATCAATACACAGAAATAAGAGGCATTCATATACAATTTGATTTGGTGAGAACCAAATCAAAGATTCAATTCCCTTCAAAACAGCAACAAAGAAAATAAAGTACCTAGGAATATATTTAACTAAGGAGGTAAAAGACCTCTACAGGGAGAACTATGAAACACTGAGGAAGGATATTGGTCTGAAGCACTAACCCAATTGCAGTGCCCTTCTGAACATGGGGCCCTGTGTGACTGCACAGGTCACAAGGCCATGAAGCTAGATTTGCCTAAAGGACACCTAACATCTTATGCCAAGACAACTTTTTCTGGAAATTACAGGGCAAGTACAAAGACTGGTTCTCATTTGTTCCCCAGCCCTGCAGGTGTTTCTATACATCTAAACTTAGTGGGTTAGTAGGTTCACATTTGTCCTTGTGCAAAGAGGATACTCCAGCATTTAGCCAAAGTTCTAGTCATGAGCAACCTCAAGGTGAACTGAAGTCTCAGGACAAGTTGCTTCTCGCTGGCCCGCAGCTGGTTCCGGCAAGCTCTGCAGCAGCGCCCTCTGCTGGCGCCACTGTTACAGCAAGTTTAAGTAAAGCCTTGCATTAGCTCAGTGCTTCCCAAACTTTAATTGGCCAGTACATCACCTGGGGATCCTGTTAAAATGCAGACCAAGATTCCGCATTTCCAACAAGATCCCAGGAGATGCCAATGCTGCTGTCCATGGACCACTTTTTGAGCAGCAAAGCACGAGATGTGTCTAAGCTTCCTTGCCATTCTGACCTTTAGCTCCATGGTTCTAGCTCCGTTCCTAGCTACCACACACCTTCCCTTCTCAGGTTAAAATTTCCAGTGGTCCCTCCCAGGGCTCATGATCCCCAGGTGCTCCAGCTCTGTCCCCAGGGACAAGCTTGTCTCAACAGCCAGCACGAGGTTACACATGGCAAGTTAGCAAGGCCAGGAGCTCCTGTGAACTAAGAGAATGCAGCCCTCGTATCTGGCTTTGTACAAACAAATGGCTTGGATTGGGTCCTGGTGGTGGGACAAGGTAAGAATACACATAAGTTAGACCTGGACCCTCACATCAACGAGTTGGTTCGTTCACAAAGTACCAAGTGCCTACCCATGTTAGGTGTTGGGGCCTCATGCTGGCAGCTGTTTAATGAGAACTAACACTGACTGAGCTCATCCAGGTGCCAGGCTCTGTGCCGAGCTCTTTACCTGAATGACCTCCTTTAAGGAACGGGGCTGGGGTGTTGGGAGTAGAAGTCTTTCCAAAATTCTGCATTGGGGATTTGGACTTTAAATAGCTTCCTTGGTCATGATAATTTTACACAACTGTTAGTGTTACCAAAGCAGCTTTAGAAATGTTCCATCTCCCATTGTCATTTCTTATCCAGGAATAAAAGGATCAGCCCCCTCCACAGTGCCCTTGAGCTCTGTTCAAGTGCATTTGTTAACGTGACAGTCCCTGCACCTGCGGAGGTGTGCTCTCCCCGGCTGCACCCCTTGCCCTCCTCCTCCCCCGTCTCTAACCTCCTCAGAAGACCGTATGGTGGAAAGAGGACAGATTTAGCCCAGAGCCACCTGCACCAGCTGGCAAATGGTAAAGACAGGCCCTA